AACACCATATCGAGTTATAAATTTAGCATGTAAAGTTCAAAACATGTCAGAAAATGCAATACTGTAAATTGTGCATCTTTGCAATTTCTTTGAAAATATAAGTATATATATATACTGTCCGATTAAATAAAATAAAAAAAAGAAAATAAAAAACTATACTCTTCCGTCTCAGTAATTTTGATAATCATCGAGAAAATTTTTGCCACCCTTAATTTATTTTTACAAATTTTCAATTGCACAATTTAAGAAAAACAAAAACATAATTCAATTCTTTATAGGGTTAAACCTTCGTTACTATTTTTTTCTTTTCCCTTTTATTATCGTACACCCTTGCTAACTTGCTTGCTTGTTTGAAAAGAGTTACAATTATAGTTGACTTTGAAATTAATTACGACGTAGCTTAAGGTGCACCATCGATGACCTTCCCCTTGTCCACGAAGCCCTCTAACCCTACCAAGCCTCCCCCCTCCCCGATTATTTGCGATCTAACGACTATAAAAATAGATCCCTTTGTGGTGAATATGATCGATTGATTGAACTCATTTGAGATTATAAATGTCAAAGGGTTGGTGATTCTTTGTCGGCCATGACGGAAATAGAAAGATAAACGGTGATCGATAAAAAAAGGGATGAATGTTGTTTGTGATAAAAGGATAAGAAGGGAAGAGAAGGGGGTTGGTGGTAGTGGGGGGTGATGATGATGGAAAAATTGATAACAAAGTGAAATTTTTCTTCGAGATAAGTTTTAAAAACATATCGAAATTAGTTTGATTAATTTAAATATATAAAAAAATTATGTCATTTAAATTTATTATTATATTCGTAAATAATTAGATATATATTTATACCCGTATGAATTTTAATAATTTAATTTGAACAATAAAAATATATTACGACGATAATCAAAATTGTAATATAAGTATTTATTAATAATTAACGGGATAAATATTTAAATACGATTTGCAAAGTATTATAATCTCACATTGGAATATTATTATTAGATAATTTATTTATAAATATTATATTAATGTGTGCAAATTTGTTTTTTTCTTTTGTTCATTCGATTGATATGACATAACAAATCACTTTCTTATCGAATGCTTGAAAAAATTTCCTTTAAACTGTCATTCGTAAGATTTTTTATTTTTCATATATATTGTTTATATCATTATACAGTGTCGTAAAAAAAAATGTAAAATAAAAAGAAACATTATTATATGTATATATGTATTACAAAAACTGAGAACGCGTGTTGAATTATTAATACTGAAAAGAGATGAACGAAGGGGTGGTTGTGGTGGTGGTGGTGGTGGTAGTCATGGGGTGTTATAAGAAGCTTAGAAATAGGTATAAAAGAATAGGAATAAAAGTAGAGAAATTGTAAGTGGGAATTAACGATATGAAAAACCTTCTCGGTTGCTTAACATATTACCATTCGATATGGGTGTTCGTTTAATGATGCTAAACCTTTGTCTCATCCGAGAACAAACGATTTTTTTCCTGCAATAAAAGAAAGAAAGAAAAAAAGAAAGTAGGAAGGAAGGAAGGAGAAAAAAAAGAAGAAGAAAGAGTTAAGCAAGTAAGCAAGCAAGGGAAGGAAGGAAGGAAGGGTGGAAAAACGAACCCTGCTACCACTTTATTTCTTCCGTTACCCTTTATCGCGAAAAAAAAAGAAAAAGAAAAAGAAGAAAGGGTAAGTGAGCCTTCTCGAAAGAGGGATGAAAGCAAAAAGAAAAGAAAAAAAGGGCTCAGACTTCGACGTCTCGAGGATCCACGGATGATCGAGGAAAAAACAATTCTAAACGAAATTCGAATCGTACGAACGAACGATAGAAACAAAGAAAGAATGAGAGAGAGAGAGAGAAGCAAAGAAGAGAATGATGATCGTAGTATAACATTAAAAAATTGTCTACGAAAAATAAATCAACATTATTGGAGATGGTTTGAATTTTCTTGAAAAAAAAAACAAAAAAACAAATCGAAGATCCGAAGAAAAATTTTATACGAAATTTTTTGTCAAACGAAAATGAAATAACAAAAAATAAAAACAAAAATAAAAGAACAAAGGCAAACGAAAAATCAATACACACGCACACGTACACGCATACACATACACGATTAATAATCGAAGGGTAACAATTTGCCACGAAAAAGTTTTTCTGAGAAGATAGAAACGATCATTCGAAAAGAAACAAACAGTTTATCGAACACAACAAACAAAACAACACAACAAAAGGGGTTCTGGTGAGGTGGGGAGGTGGGAGGTGGGGGGTAGCAAAGGAACCTTTTCCTTGCGAGTTCTTTTTATTATTTCGTTCCTTTTTCAATTCTCATTCCTTCGATTCCTTTGAGATAAAACAAAGAGAAAAAAAGAAGGAAACAAAAGGAAAAGAATAAAATAAATAAATAAAGAAAAAAAAGGGAAAAGGAATACTCTAACATTTTTCTCCGTTGTTTAAATTTACTTTCTATTTGCATTCGAGTGCTATTTACATCGTAAGAAATAAATCTAACGGGATAAACCATAACCATTTTCGAAATGAATAATATGGTTTAGGTTTTTTTCGAATGAAAGAACATACAAGGATATAAAGATAGATAGATAAATAGATAGATAGATAGATAGATGGTTAGATAAAAATAAAAAACGAGAAAGAAAAGAAGAATCGAATCTTTTAGTCACCATAAAAGCAAGCCACCCTCCCACCCCCCCCATCCCATAACTCCTTCCCATATATACTTTCTTTCCAGTTCGTTCTTCGAAATATACAACGACTGCATCCCTTATTTTTTTTTTCTTCTTCTTCCTCTTTTTATTCTTCCTCTTCCTCCTCCTCTTCTTCTTCTTCTTCTTCTTCTTCATCTTCTTTTACTACCATCTCTTACTTTTTCTTATCCACTTTTCTTTTTTTTTTCCCCCGTTTTTCTTTTCGAAGCTAGTTACGTACCATACCAACTCTTGTATTTATGAGGGATCCTACGAGGGGAAGAAAACACCGTACACGTCGCCAATTTCCACGAGGATATATCCTTTCTCACCCCTCGTCTTTCCCTACTACCCCCCTCCTCCCTCTCTCTCTCTCTCATTCCATGCAAACCCTCCTTTTCTATTTTTTCTTTTTTTTTTTTTCTTTTTTTTATACCATCCTTCCCCTTTTTTTTTTTTTTCTTTCATAGAATTCTTTTTCCACTCTTCTCACACCCAACAACATTTTTTTGCTTTTATTTCTTCCCTTCTCTTTTTTTTTTCTTTATCTTTTTGTATATATAAATATATGAAACAGTATTATACAGTTCTCCAATTTTTCCGCATCATAGATTTTAACGAGAACTATTTCTAAGAAAATTGATCGTCCCTTTTTATTTTCAACCACCATGAAAGTAAATATCATTCACCCTTTTTTTAACCTACTCGAATAATATTTCTTATCTTTGATTATACAATAGTTATTGCTAGTATTTTGTTGTTGTTATATACTGCTCCCCATTTTATATACACATTTGTTCGAATTTATTGCAATTTTTGTTTCTTCTCTATCGTTTCTTTGGGATTCTTTTTTTTCCCCCTTTGTTGTATTGTATTTTTTTTATCGAATTATTTCGTTATTTACAAATACGAAAACACCGGTTTATATTTGTTTTGTTTCAATACTTTTGAAATACGAAATACGATTTAATTATTACGAAGAAATAAATGTAACCAACCTTGCATTGCAATGTGTTTTACAATGAAACAACGAACGTACGTTTTCGTACACACAGGGGGAAAAGGAATAATTTATTTTTCTTACAATTTTAATCAAAAGTATAATCTTTCATATATATAATATAGGAAAATTATTGAGTAATTATATTCAGGAACCAAAAAAAAAAAAAAGAAGAAATGTTTAAAAAACAATACTTCAATTCGACAACGATATTAATAATTGAATACATTAATTATTGATTAATTATTATTCAATGACCCCATACTTAAATAATATTTATAATAAATGCTAATACATTTTGTCTCGTTTATTTATCATTTACACACACATACACACACATGAGATTAATATAATAAATAATTATTTTATTTGTAGAAACACAAGATAATTAAATAATTATAATTGAATTCTATTTCCACACAGGCTATATGACAAATATTTGATTTTCATTTTATCTATTTTTATTTTTCTTCTTCCAGCTGCAGCAGCAGCGTCTCGAGTTTATGTCGACGCGTTATCCAGACTTGCACGTCAGGCACAGCTGGGAACATGGGGTGGATCGAAAGATGTCGGTGAGTGGCAACAACAACAATAATAATAATAATAATAACAATACCTAAATGTTTGAACATTGACATGAGTGAATGAATTCCCAATCAATAGCGAATAAATTATATTAACGAATTTATT